TCTCCGCCTTTCTACCTGTGATGGAGAGGCAGTTTGGGGGGGGGAGGGGGTGTCTTGGCAGCACAGAGCTTTGGGGGGGGAGGCACCCTATCAATGCCCAGAGAGCAGGAAGACCTTCCGTCGAAGAACAAGCCATCAGAGGTTGCGCAAGGTGGAGAAGCTGGATGATGGTTTGGGTTGCAGTGAGAATCTTGTGAGAAGCCAAGTCTTCCTGCTCAAACAGAGAATTCACACCTTATAAATACTGCGGGAAAAGATTCAGCTGCAGCTGCATCCTGATTGCTCTCCAGAGAATTGATAGAAGGCCAAATCCTTACAGATACTCGAAGCCTCTCTGGGTGGAGAAGATTTGTGCTGGAAGGGATCTGGGCAGAGATACAATAAACATTGGGAAATGGACATAGCGCAGCCCTCCATGGACGAGAGACTCGGTGTCTTCACCAGAATGAGATCTTTCGAGTGGTGAGAAGGGATCAGCTGAAGACTCCAAGGGGTGATGCCCAATAGTGGAGATCCTTGGGGTCACAGGTACATACAGTCCTCGAGTTACAACGGTCATGACCATGGGAAAGTAGGTCACCAGGTAAGTGGACCCAATTTTACAACATTTTTCATTGTCATTAAGCTGCAGACATTAACTGAATCCATTATTCAGTGTGCGGTGGGTTTTGTCAGAAACCTGAAGTAAATACCATTTTTCTTTTTCTTTTTAATAATATTTTATTAATTTTCCAATTTTACATTTGAATATTTAAAAAGCAACATGGTGACTGGGTTAATCAGTAGCTCAATAACAAAATCTTAGTGCAAATCTCAGGCTACAACATCAAATGTTTCTTCTCTTTTTCCCTTAACTATTACTGTCTCATGTTCAGGTTGGTACATTTCTAATTATATCAATTCAATAAGAACATCATTATTACATTTATCAATAAATTTTTAGCTTATACATATCTTAATTACATTCAATTTTCATAAACAATCCATATCCTCTTATTGCTTTTGACTCAATTTTTAATTTCTTATCAATATTCCAATTTAACCTTTGATATTTATAATTTTCAGACTTTGGGTAACCAAAATTTCCCTTATCTCACTTCATAACAAACTATAATATCCAAAATACACACTTTATCTATTTAAATATAATCTTATTCTATTTCCTAAGAGTTATCTATTTCCCACCATATATTATAATAATAATAATAATAATAATAATAATAATAATAATAATAATAATAATAATAATAATAATAATAATAATAAT